GTGTTGCCCCTCATGCCTCTACCCCAGGAGCTGATTAGAAATCTTCCAGCACGCCACTGCCTGGGAGTTGTCAGTCTAGAGGCTGACATGGTTGAGCGTGGCTAGAGATCTAAGCCGCAGCTCAACATTAGAGGTCAAGAAGAGCGAAAGCTGGTAAGGGTGCCAAGGAGCATAGATCCGTGAAGGATGTGGAACTGTGGCCATCTTTAGAGGTATGAGGAGGAGGAGGCAGTGGCCACTGGCATCACGTGCAGGTCAGAGGACTGGAGAGGACTGGGGTGGGCTGGATGAGGCAGGGAGATAGAGCCATGAGTCTGAAAAGCCATCTGAGGAATTTTTTATGAGAGGAGAGAAATAGATTCAAGGGAGGTTTTTATGGATTGTTAACTATGGGAGATATCAGCATGTTATTCTGTGTGCTGGTGAGAAAGGTTCAAGAGGAGGGAGAATTTGATGAGGCAGGAAAAAGGGGATAACTGCAGTGGCAGAAGTCCATGAGGCGGCCAGGGCCTGGTAATAGCCAAGGGGTGACCTCAGCCAGGGTCCTGGAGAGTTCATCTCTCCAAGAGGCAGCAGGCCAAGTGCTGAGGAACATGCAGGGAAGGGGGCTTATGTGGCAGAAACACGAGGGAACTCCCAGTTGATGGCTTCTCAGTGAGCTCCTGGGAGGAGGAAGGCTGGGGAGACCAAGGGATGGTTAGAACCTGGGGGATTTGGAGGACCTGGAGCTTGAAGCTGAGTGGGAGGCTGAGTTGCTTGCCAGCTGCCCCTTGGGTAAAGGGCTTCACCTCTAAGTCACTTTCCTCAGCTTTAAAGTAGCATCTCTCCTATGTTGGTTATAAAGATGAAGTGAGAAGATGCAAGTCAAAGCCTTCATGGGCTCTGGGAGGCCCCAATCATAGCTCCTTCCCTGTTCAGTGTGTGACCCTGGCCTGGGTGAGGGTGCAGCAGGTTGGGCTGGGCAGCTGTGAAGGTGAAGGCTGGAGGGTAAGTTCAGGCCTCTGAAGTGTGTGTCCGGGGCCATCGGGAGCCCCTGCAGGGCAGCTAGCGGGCAAGGAGGAGAGCATACTGGGGATGATGCGCTGTTGCCAGTGTAGGCTGTGGGGAGAGAACTGGAGTTGCAGTCACTATGTGCAGGTGGTGCTGTGTGAAGACGGTGGCGACAGGCTGATGGTGTGGAAGGACCTGGGACTGCTGGCTTCCCCTTTCCTGAGTGGCACGTCTGTCCTGGCTGAGAAGCAAAGAGCCTCAGAATGTGGAGGGGAGGCAATGCAGGCAGTGCCCCCAGTGCGCTGGCCAAGGGGCAGGAACGTAGTTCAACAAGTGTTGTCAAGCACATGCTAGGGACCTTCACTGGATGACGGTGATGACTAATGCTGTCTGTTCCCTGAAGGAACTCTGAGTCAGTCTGGGAGTTCTGGTGCTGTCATGCCATGTGCCAAGGAGGTAGCAAAGGTGAATGACATCCTCACTGAGTCCTGGGGAGAGAGGGAGGGTGTGGGCTGTTTCCTCATGTGGTATATAAGGAGTGACTTGAGGTGATAAGTGAACATTTATTAAAATGCACATCAAGCAGGATTTCACAGATAATGCTTTGGAGGAAGCTGAGTTAAACAATAGGTAAGTCCCTGTGTGAATGATGGTGCTAAGGCTAATGTGAGGAATGGCAAGGTGATGACTGGGGCAGGCAAGTGAAGTAGGAAAGAGTGAGCTGGGTGATGGCTTGAGATGGCCAGGCACTGAATTGCCACATGGCATGGGCAGCCCCCGGAGCACTTCATGCTGAGATTGACTCAGTTGGGTGTGTTTTAGATAGGTTCTTTTGCTGCTGGTAGAAATAGATAATGGAGTCTGGGGCTAAAGTAGGATGATATAGGAGCCGTTGCAGAAACCCAGGTCCAGGGGTAGGGGCTTGGCCTCCACTGGAGGGAAGCAGATGGATGGGGGCCCTAGGGAACAGACAAGATAGGGACTAGGGACTGCTGGAGTGCAGGCTGGGGGACATTCAGTTGAGGCAGCTGGAGACAACATCTGGAGGGACAGTCTTGGAGGGTGACAAACAGATGACTACAAAAGCTGTGACTGTTGTAAGTCAGCAAGGGCAGCAGCCAAGTAAAGGGAGGCCAGGCCTCCTGGGCTCAGCCTCACTGGGGAAAGCAGCTGGAGATCCCAGGTGTAGCCATTCACTCAGAAAATATTTACCAAGTGTCTTCTATGTGGCAGGAAGTGTCCTGCCCTGGAGATTCAGTAATGAGCAAGATCTCCACCCACATTTTCACCAGGGAGAGAGAAATGCTATAAAGAGAGGGCAGGGTAAGGATTGAGAGATTTAGAGAATGACTGTAGTCGGGGATGGTCTTTCTGCTAAGGTGACTTCTGGTGACATACATGGAGTCAATCCAGAAGACAGCACAGAGCTATCTCTGGGGAAAGTGCATTCTGGGGCAAGGCAGGTCCCTGCTTGCTTGAAGCATTCAAGGAACTTCAGGGAGACTAGAGAAAGAAAGAAAGAATAACAAAGAATGTCATGAGAAAAGGCCAGGATGGGGCAAGAAGCCATACTTGCCACTCAGGACAAGTCTTTTACCAAAGGAGATGGAAACTACTGGAAGCTTTGCACTAAGGCAGAGACATGCCCTGTCTTTTGTGTTACAGGGATTATTCTGACTGCCACGTGGAGTAGATGCGGGAGTTTGGGGCAGAGGTCAGGGCACAAGAACATTGCAGGTAGGACTAGTGGGGAGGTGGCTGCAATAATCTAGCCACAGGTGCGGTCCTCCTCCTGGCATTTGTACTCTTGTGTTACTGCAGAAGGGTAGGTCTGTGACCAATAAAACAGAGCAGAAGTGATGATACATCACTTCTGAAATGAGGGTGTAAAAAAGTGCTGTATTGCTGCTCTTGTAGTTAAGTCACTAGAGGATGCCAGCTACCACGTGTGAGTTGCTGTATGGAAAGGCCCATGTGGCTAAGAACAGCCTCTGCCAGCAGGCATGTAAGTGAGCTTAGAACCAGTTCCTCCAGCCCATCAAGCCTTCTGAGACTGTAGCCTCATGAGACACCAAGTCAGAATCAGCCAGCTATGCTACTCCCAGATTCTTGGCCTTAAGAAATTGTGTGAGGTAATAAATGTTTGTTGTTTTGGCTGAATTGGGGAAAGTTTGTTACACAGTAATAGATAACTAATACAATGATGATAGATTCGACCAGGTAATAGTAAACAGAGCAGTGAGATGTTGGCTCCTAGATACATTTCAAGGGTAGAGTTTGATTTGTAGGCATTGGGCCTGAGAAGTGAGGTGACTGATGGTGCCAGCTAGCAAGGTGGGGAAGGCCACAGGGAGGAGGGCTGTGCAGGATAGAGGGCAGAGATGGCAGCACAATATGGAATTGTGGAACATTCAGGAGGCTGTTACACTAGTTCAGTTCAGGGAGGAAATCAGTGTTTGTTTGGATGGTGTAAAGCCAGGAGTGTGGCTGAGACCAGGGGAAGAAGTCCAGGGACAACTTGAGCCGAGGGACAACTTTTTAAGAACTAGGAAGAGGAGGAGAAAGAACATGGAATGCACACCAGAGAAGAGAAAGAAACCACAAGATTGAAGAAATTTTCAGAAGGGGAGTGTTCACCTGGGTCCACTTCTTCTGAGAGGTTGGTAAGATGATCTGAAGAGCAAGCCAATCTGTTGGGCCCTGAGGAGGTAGGCCACCTTGAGAAGCGGGTGGGTTATAGTGGTCAAGATGAGAGCTCCTTGGAATGGGAGTGAGATGGGGATACTTGCTGAGAAGTGATGGGTTAAGGAGTTTTTCTTTGTAAGAAAGTTACGGTCTGGTTGAATGCAGATGGGAATAACTCAGAAGAGAAAGAGGGGAGGATATCCATGGAGAAAGATGCCGCCAATGAGGTGACCTGAAAAAAAGGACTTGCCATATCCCTGCATTAGGGTGATGGATGAGGGGGTGCAGGTGGAGGCACAGTCCAATTCACTGGGGAAGAGGATACCCTGGAAGCCACAGGCTGTGGGCAAATCCAGAAAAGGTTTACTATGAAAGTTACAACTCTACTGGATGGTTGAGAAAATGACTGGCTTCCTAGACTTGCTTTCATAGTGTACTTTATTGGGAAAAGTTAGTTAGTGTAAAAAACATTCAGATTCAAAAAATTTAAATAAGACAGTAAAATTATACCTTGTAGCTATAGTAATCACAAATAAGGTAAAGTCTAAATGATTGCCTAACCAAATACTATTTTGTCAAGCTTCTGTTGCAAGCCCAAGGCAGGAAACACTGCAATTATTAGAAATGAACCCACTGATGAATTTGTATTTGAAGTTGGAAGAAAGGGGAAAAAACACATTCTGATTACAGCATCACAACATTCTAGCTTGGGAAAAAAGCAACCTTATTAATGTCCTGTAGCAGAGTACATTAGTAATTTTAACCATGCATTAAAATTCTCATTTTTTTGGTCATAAAGAGAACAATCCATTTTCTTCATGACACATGATGTTTTACAGAGTTTCATACGGTTTGTCCCTCTGACCTTCCTGGGAACATTTCTTCTCCAGGGACTGCTTTCTAAGACACCCAGTTGCTTACCATGGGTCGTCTTTGGTCATTTAATACCAGGCAAGTGCCTAACTAAGCCTGGGACTGGAGGAAGTATCCCCTCCCTCAAAGCCCTAGTGCACCAGTGAGAACAGGCATTATGGCATAGCCAAGAGGATTACTAACACGTTAACGTGGGATTCTCTTTGGTTATGGAATTCTTTTTATTTATGCTTATAAAAAATATAGCTAGGAATATGCTCCTGAATTCTAAAGCACTTTTGACCGACTTTAAGTATGTCCTTGCAAAATTCACCACCTGGCCAATTTAAAAATTTGCTATTTTCCTGTGGAATCTAACTTAAGTGTTCTAATTAGCAAATACATTTGAGTGAAAAGCAGTAACAGATCTTTAGGAGCCCCAAGGGGGCGGGGGGCAGCTGACAATGACAGACTTAGATGCTGTCCATAGCTTTGAACTCACTGAGGGCCTGCACAGGATTCACGTGCTTCTTCTGAGATGCCCGTTTGATTTTGGTCTGCGTCTCATCCTGTTTTTCTCTCTTCACCAAGGGTTTTTTCTCAGGTGCTTTCATCTTCCATGACACAGCAGGGAGGTTGAGGGAAGCCATGCCCTGAGACTTCTGGTATTTGGTGGAGGCTACATAGGATGCCTTCACCGTCTGCACCACAGCGTTCATCAGGTTCTTGGCTGCCTGGATCAGTGACATGGCACTATCCACCTAAAAGGACAGACAGGTGGTGTGGTAAGAACAGGTCCACCTCTAGCCCAACCTTGTGTATGGATACTGTAGTGCAGGTGAGACCAGGAGCCTGTCAGTGCCTGATAAGTACCACCAGCAACATCACTCCTCCCCATCCAGGACCAGGGTCTGGGCAGGGCCCAAGAATTCCACACTAGATCTCTCCATGGTTAGAAATTTCCCTGAAACACTTGTGTTTTGGATTCTTTGAAGAAGAAACCAAAAACCAAACCAAACTCACTGCCGTGGAGTTGAATCCGACTCATAGTGACCCCTCCTTGGATTTCTAAGGCGGTAGGTATCACTATGGAAATAGATTTCCCAACCCTCCTTCTGAGGAATGGCTGGTAGGTTTGAACTGCCAGCCTTCTGGCACTATGCCACCAGAGGGAAGAGTAATTCAGACATAAGATACCATTACCTTGGGAGTGCCCTCTCCACGTTTCTTATTTACTCAGTTGGAGGAAGATGCCTCTTTTTGGCACTATAACCACAAGCCCCATAAACAGCCACAGAGGAATGGAGTTAGGCCATCCTAGACCTCCCCCTAAAATGCATGTCCTTGTCATATACAAAATAGACACTTCATCACATCATCCTAAAAGTCTTAAATCACGTCCTAAGTCAGAAATATCATCTTCTGAAACATCTAAATCAAATAGGGGTTATTCCATCCTGGGGCAAAATGCCTTATATCTGTGAAATCTAAAATACAAGTAATCTTCCATAATACGATGGTGGAACAGGCACAAGGCAGAGATTTCCATTACAAGTGGGAAAAACTGGAAGCACCCAGCAAGTCCCAAACCCAGCAGAGCACACTACATCAGCTCTTAGGGCTTGAAACTAGTACTCTAGATTCTGGGTGGTGAGGACCCTCAGCCCTGGACTTCAGCTGTCTTCTAGGTTCACTGGGACGGCAACTCAGCTCCCTTGGCTGTGGGCACTGCCCCCCCCCATGCTCTGTCCCTCAGCTCTGCCGATCTCTGAGTGGTTCCAGCATTGGTCCTTTTCTGTTCATGGAGGACAACAGATGTAGTTCCTTTGGCCTGTTTGCTGCCTATAGAATTCCAGAAGCAGACAGTGGTCTTTCCTTCCTTTACTTTTTCAGTCCCCTTCAGTCTAAACTGATGGATTTTCTGGAGATGGTTCAATCCATGAGTAAGAGGCTAATCCCTTTAGCAAAAGACAGTGTAGCCACCTCTGTCCTCAGTCTGTACAACAGAATTTTCCGAATCTCTAAGTTTTGTTTTCCTTTTGCACAGTTAAAAATTAAGTCCATCTCTTTCGTCCTGCATTTTACTATAAAGCAGCAAGGAGAAACCATGTGTGGCCCCTTTAAGATCTTGCTTAGAAATCGCATCAGCTAACATCCAACTTCATCACCACAGCATAACAAGCACTGTCCAATCACATGTTCATTTTCTTTTAAAGTATCACCAGAAGCACATTTAATGTTCCATGTTTCTAGCAACATCTGGTTGCTGGTGCCAAACGTACTGGCTAAAGAGAAAGAGACTCTCTATAGCTCTCCTCACCAGAACTGCCTGATGCCCATAATTCTATCAACAAGTCTCCCCATGGCAACCTCAGCTTTTACTATGAAGTACCTTAAAATTCTTCCAGCATCTACTCATTACTCATTTCCAAAATTGCATACACATTTTAGGATCTGTTAGAGCAGCATCCTTACTTTTCAGAACCAAATTCTGTCTGTGATCTAGTGCTGCTCTAACAGGAATACCACGAATGAGTGGCTTTAACAAACAGAAGTTTATTTCCTCACAATTTAGGAGGTTAGAAGTCTGAAGTCAGAGTACAGCTCCAGGGGAAGGCTCGCTCACTCTGGAAGAAGGTCCTCATCTCTTAGAGCTTCTGTTCTTGGGTGATCTTCATGTGGTTTGGCATCTCTCTTCCCCCATCTCTGCTTCTTTCACTTGCTTAAGATACACCTTACACTAATCTTTCCTCACTAAGAAAACAAAGACAACCATTCCAAAATGGGATTATAACCAGAAGTATAGAAGTTAGGCTTCTAATACACATTTTTAGGGGATATAATTCAATCCATGACAAGCAGCCAAGACACGGTAGAACCTTCCCACCCCCCATGAGAACAGGGATAATCGCTCCTTAGAGATAAGGGCATTTATGTAGCAGATGAAGAACTGGTTTGAGTATCTTTAATATACAAAAGGATTTCTTTCAGAGAATTTCAGTTGGATTAGCAAAAGCCTAGCCTACACCAGGTAAAAAAGTTCCTCTTCCCCAAGGTAAGAAGGGGTCCAGATAGTCACGTAATAAACAGGAAAAGGAACAAATACTCAGACATTTTGAGGGGGTGGAGGAGGTCTAAGAAAGGGAACAAGCTTAATTCATCACTGGGGGAAGGCAGGCAAGGAAGATAAAAATACTCTTCCCAGTGAGTGGCCAGCAAACGAGGAGGCTCCCAGCTATGCCATGCAAAAACAAAAACCCTGCAGTTCAATAGCAGGAAGCAGACTGCAGCCCTGGTTTCCCCCACAATACAGACCCTCAGTTTGAGAGGGTAAGGAGTGAGCAGAGTGTTTAATACAGGCTGCTTTCATTCCTCACACAGTCCACACAAATCCTCACTGACCATCTTTCCTCACAGGTCATAGATAAAACTTACCCCTGAGACAACAAGCTCCCCACCGAGGTTCTGCACCTCAGCCTTGACTTTGCTGCAGATGTTGAGCTGGTGGCAGTAGAGGGCGATGCGCTGCAGGTAGGCCAGCAGGTCCTGCTTGCAGGCTGAGTCTGGGCACTGTCAGGACAGCAAGTTAGCACAAGGCCATTCTGGCTCAAACAACACTCCCACCCATGGCTATTCCAAAAATTCTCCATGGGGCACTACCTTGCTCCCTTTCTCCTTGCTGGAGCAAAGGGAAAGAGATCCGAGTTCTATCATTTCCTGGGGGCAGTCACATCCCTACCCTCCTATCAGCTTGAAGACAGAGGGAAGTGAGGAGTGGTAAGACATTTGTGAACCCCTGATCTTGCTGCATAGTGAATCCTTTCTGACCCTTCCTCACTGACTCCATGACCACAGGAAACTACTAACCTCAAGGATTCTACTGCAGACCTTTCATGAGTATGGAAACCCCTGGCATTTGAAGGAGAGAGAAAGCCTCAGCAAGCAAAAGCCTGGCTATGGGGAAAAGTCAGAATATTTGGAGTTAGATAATAACCCCACAAATATATAGCTCTTCTGCTCAGAGACCCTTTATCTGCTCAATTATGATGCACACTGTAAACACTAGATGAAAGGAGACATTCATTTTGGGCAAGTATGGAAGAAGAGTGAGCAAGCAAAACAAGAAAAGGAGCACCTAGGGACTAAGAGCATGTAGGGAAACTCAAGGCAGAGGGTAGCACTCCCTGAGGCCCATCTTGCTGCCAAAGCTCATGGCTGTGAAGGTGTCTAATTAGGGCAGGCTTAGAAGGTATTACCCCAAAAAAGGAACCTCTCAAATGCTTACAACAAAATTCTTTTTTCCTGTGAGGCTGGGACACAGTGAATGACAGTGGTATATATAAGACCGTCAGAGAGGCCTTGCAGACCATGCTAAAGACTGCATTTTATTCTAAGAAGCTAGTGCAGGATTTTGAGCAGGGCTTAGCCCTGTGTGTGTTGCATTTTAAACTTGACTACTAACCAGAAGGCTGGCTGTTCAAACCCACCAGCCACTCCTCAGAAGGAAGGTTGGGCAATCTACTTCCATAGTGATACTGCCTCAGAAACCCAAGAAAGGGTTGCTATGAGTTGGGTCTGACTCGACAGCACATAACAACAACACACAGATGAGCATGTCGGGTCTGTTCAGAGTATGAATTGGAAAGGAAAATGTGGGAAATCAGAGGTTCTTGTAGTTCAGCAAGGTGCAACAGAGCTGGCTGTAGAAAGCAAAAGACTGGATGGTGTCAAGCTACCTCTGGCCAGTAGATGCAACAGCCTTGGTATTGGACTGCACCAAAGAGGAGAGTCAAGGCTTGAGCACTGAGAGACAGCTGCCATACATGCTGCAGCCCAGATGCAGACAGAAAGGCTAATACTACAGGTTAAAACTGTACAGAAGAAACAGCAGCTCTGATAGTGACTCTTAGTACTTTAAAGGAAATGTGTTATAAAACTTCCACAATTGTTTTAGGTATCAGAATGAAGGAATAATGGGGTGAAGGCTGTGCTGGGGACACGGTGCCAACATCACAGAAGCCTGTTCCCTACTGGCAACTGAGCTGATTCTTATAGTGAGTTTAAGTTCTGAAAACAGTAGAAGCCTTTTTTTAGCTGTCAATCAATGGAAAATTTCAGAATATACACACCTGCTTAAGAAATGTACTCTAATGCAAACTGGACCTAACTCACAAGACTTGTCAAAGAAAAAGCAGGAATTCAGAAATCCTTAAAAATCTATGCTGGTATTCATCAAGTAAGTTGGCAAGAAGAGTGTCTGAAATGAGTGAGAAGAACGCTAAGGCCCAGGATGAAGCTTAGAGACCTATGTGACTAGTCTGTCACTCACATGGTCTGCGATGGTACGGCCAAGCTTATCCATCCTGGAGCCTGCCTCAGCAATCTTCTTGGCAGCACTGATCACATCGGAGGTATTTTTGAGTGGTCCTTTACCTCTGTAAAAAGACAATAAAAAGCATGGTACACAGAGCCCCTTGGAGCTAAAGCATGGTACACAGAGCCCCTTGGAGCTGGAGAACATGGACTGTCTACACAATGGCAGGCCTTGTGGTGGGGAGAGCTGCCCTGGTACAGGGTGCTGCTCACCGGGTGAAATCAGTCATCTCCATCATAATCATGCACATCTGCTTGGCCAGCACAATGATGTCATTGCCACTGTCATCCCACTTGGACACTTCAGCATCCAGCTTGCTCTTTTCTTCCTGGAAGCTGGCAACCTGTTCCGCAATCTTTGCTTTCTGCTCCTGGGGAAGCTGAGCCATGATCGCCTGAAATCAGAAGCACAGAATATGAAGTCCTCATAGTACATTAGCCAAGAACATTTCCAACTGCCAATCTATGACATACGTAGGATAATGCTTTAAGAGATCTCCTCTTGCCTGAAGGGCTGTTTCTTCTCATCTTGCGCCATGTTTCTAGCAGCTGGAATCACCGACCCACTTCTAAGAACATACTCTAATGTGGAGGGAAATGGAGTGGGAGGGGTAGAAGGCTAACGTGGAAGCTTCCAGATCACACCTGTGCAGGGACAGAACCCTGCTTACCTTCATTGTCACAGTTTCAGCCTCTACTTCCTGCAACGAGCAGAGTGAGGGAGAGAAGGGGCACTGGGTCATCTCACTGGTGGTCTCTGAATGGACACTTCCCTGGCCCACATTTGACTTTAAAGTTGCACTTTTTGAGATGAACAGGAAATAGTTTGTTTTTTTTTTAAAAAAAAAATAAATGTTGACAAGGGAATGCAGAGGAGAATTTGCTGAGAAATACACATTTTGGCTACCTGACACGGTATTTAAATCTTATGAAAACAGCACTTGGATGTCAGGGCCCCACAGATTCTGAGGATGGAGGCTCCTCCCCACTTTTGCCTGCAAAGAGGCCTAACCACACTCACTGTTCAAAATTTTCTAAGAAATAAAAAAAAAAAGAAAAAGACTCCTTGGAAATAATTCATGGCATTCTCCCAAAACATAAATGCTATTGATTAAAGATAAAATGAGTCAAAGGAATGCAATGGTTCTGATGAGTTTTCTTGAATGCACCACATAAAGCAGTGTTTCTTTTTAATCCATGAACAGTTATTTCATTCCCACAAAATCACTGGGATGGGCAAAAGCAGCCATCTTTTTTAGAGTTTCACAAGCCTATTAACATTCTGTTGACAGGATCTCAGGGATCTCCCTACTCAAAGCTCGGCCTACACTAAAGGGCCAGGGCCCAGGAGAAAAGGCTTGTGTTCCTGCCATGGTCTCAGCTGAGGAGACAATGTGGAAGAATCTACAACTGACTTTTCTCCAGTTATTGTGATGTTGCTTACTCATCCACTTATGAGGATTTGTTTTCTTTATGCAAAGGTATAATCCACACTGAAAGCTGTATTCTTTGTTATTTACCAGTAAGTGCTTCAAATCTTCTTCACTTTTAGCAAAAGGCAAGTTGTTAATGAGTCTTCCTTCAGTCCTTATGCCACATTCTTCATGTAGTCCAGCTTCTCGGATTATTTGCTCACCATATGGATCAAATAAGTATGGTAAAAAGATACAACCCTGATGCACTCCCTTTCTGATTTTAAACCATACATTATCCCCTTGTTCTGTTCAAATGACAGCCTCTTGATCAAAAAGTACAGGTTCCTCATGAACATAATTAAGTGTTCTGGAATTCCCATTTTTCTCAATGTTATCCATAATTTGTTATGAGCCACATAGTCAAATGCCTTTGTACAGTCAATAAAACACAGGTAAACATCTCTCTGATATACTCTGCTTTCAGCCAAGATCTATTAGCATCTGTGTCATGGTTAAGTTTGTGTATCAACTTGGCTGGGCCTGGTTGAGTGGCTGGGCAGCTGGAGGTAGTTATTCCCCATGATGAGACAGACAATCAACTCCATGGTAGGATCTACCACAAGCAGCTGACTAGCTGCCTTTGGGACGTGGTTTGCTTCCCGCAAATAAGAAACAGCTTTGGAAATGTTCTCTAGCTTATGGCACACTTGAACCCTACATGTAGCTGTGTCGTTGTTCAACAGCCTGCCATCCTCTGCCAACCTTGCGACTTTCAGTGACCTTGGATTAATGGCCTGCTGCGAGATTTGGTAACTTCAGGACTGTGACTTTTTACTTGTCAACCTTGGGCTTGTCAGCTTCAGCAGGCAGCAGCTGAGTGAAGAAAAGCCTCTAGCTCCAGTGGGCCGGGAGCAGGAGGCAGAGCTGAACCCAAGGTTGAGGGGCTTTCACACAGCCCCTAGAGCCTGGCACTTTGAACTTGGACTTCTAGCCTCCCAAACAGTAAGAGAATAAACTCCCGTTTGTTCAAGCCATCCCATTTGTGATATATTTCTGTCAGAGAGGCACTAGGTAACCAGAACAATCTGCAATGACATCTTTTCTTCGACATCCTCTTCTGAATCTGGCTTGAATTTCTGGGAGTTTCCTGTCAATGTACTGCTGCAACCATTTTTTAATTATCTTCAGCAAAACTTCACTTCCATGTGATGTTAATGCTATTGTTTGATCATTTCCACATTCTGTGGGATCACCCTTCTTTGCAACGGAAACAAATATGGATCTCTTCTAGTCAGCTGGTCAGGTAACTGTCTTCCAAATTTCTTGGCATAAATGAGTAAGTACCTCCAGTGCTGCATCTGTTTGCGGAAACATTTCAATAGGTATTCCGTCAGTTCCTGGATCCTTGTTTTTCACCAATGCTTTCAGTGATGCTTGAACTTTGTCCTTCAGTACCATCAGTTCTTAATCATATGGGCAAAATACTGAACCTACAACTGACTTCTGTTTACCTCTTAAAATGCTGAGCACTGACTAATTCTATTTAGTACAGTGACTCTCTGTATTCTTCCATCTTCTTTTGATGCTTCCTGCATCATTCGGTATTTTGCCAATAAAACCAATAAACCAAACCCACTACCACTGAGTTTATTCTGACTCATAGTGACCCCCTTTGTGTTTCCCAGGTGGTATATCTTTACGGAAGTAGATTGCCCCATCTTCCTTCCACAGAGTAGCTGGTGGGATTGAACCACCAACCTTCTGGTTAGCAGTCAAATGCCTTAGGCACTGCACCACAAGAGCTCCTTCTTTTGCCCACAGAATCCTTCAATATTACAAAACTTAAAGCTTTAGTTTTTTCTTCAGCTCTTTCAGCTTGAGAAATATCGAGCATGCTCTTCCCTTTTGGTTTTCTAATTCTGGGTTTTTGCATATTTTATTATAATACTTTGTCTTCTCAAGGCACCCTTTGGAATTTTCTTTTATTTCATCATCTCTTCCACTCGCTTTACTCTCCATTCAAGGGCACGTTTCGGAATCTCTTATAGATATCCATTTTGGTCTTCTGTTCCCTTCCTGTCTTTTCAATGACCTTTTTCTTTCTTCATGTCTGATATCCTTGATGCCATCCCATAACTCACCTGGTCGTCTTTAGTCACTGGTGTTCAGTGCATCAAATCTATTCTGCAAATGGTCTCTAAATTCAGGTGGGATACAATAAAGGTCGTATTTTGGCTCTATTGAACTTGTTTTAATTTTCTTCAACTTCAACTTACATATAAGCAATTGATGGTCTGTTCCCAGAGTTAGCTCCTGGCCTTTGTTCTGAAAATACTAAGTTTCTCTATCACGTTTTTCCACAGATGTAATTGATTTGCTTATTTTGTATTCCATCTGATGAGTTCCATGTGTATAGTCACCATTTACATGGTTAAAAAGAGGTACTTACAATGAGTAAGTTGTTAGTCTGCAAAATTCTATCATGCAGTCTCTGGTGCCATTTGTTTCACTAAGACCATATTTTCCAACTACTAATGCTTCTTGTTTGTTTTGAACTTTCTCATTCTAATCACTAGTAATTGTCAATACATCCTGACTGCATGTTTGGTCAGTTTCAGATTGCAGAAGTTGGTAAAAATCTTCAATTTCTTCATCTTTGACTTGAGTAGCTGGTGCATAAATTTGAATAATAGTATTAAGTGGTCTTACTTGTAGGCATGAGGATATTATCCTATCATTGACAGCATTATACTTCAGGCTAGACCTTGAAACATTCCTTTTCATGAAAACATTCCTTTTCATGATGAACGTGACAGCATTTCTCTTCAATTTGTCGCTCCCAGCATAGTAGATCATAGGATTTTCCAAATCAAAATGGCCAACACCAGTCCATTTCAGCTCACTAATTCCTAGGATATTGATCTTTATGCATTCCATTTCATTTTTGACAAGTTCCAATTTTCCTAGATTCCTACTTCATGCAGTAACTTTTCTCATTTTGAGCCATGCCACATCACCAAATAAGGTCCCAAAAGCTTTACTCTATCTACATCATTAAGGTGACTCTACTTTGAGAAGGCCACTCTTCCCCAGTCATTTTTTAAGTACCTTTCAACCCAAGGGGCTCATTTTCCAGCAGTTTATCAGCAGGTCTTCAGTGGCCAGTTTTTTTCAGAAGTAGACCACCACTTTCTCCTTCCTCACCTGTCTATGAATTTGTCATGGATTTCACTTTACTGAGATACACATTTAATGGCTATGGAAGCAGCAATCAAAAAATCAGACGATGTACTGCACTGCAGTAAAACACCTGGTTGAAGTGCTAGAGTCAAGATGCCACTTTGAAGACTTAAGAAGCACCTGACCTAAGCCATTAATACTTTAAGCTTCATATACATGTAAAAGACAGACAGTGAATAAGGAAGACTGAAGAATTGATGCATTTGACCTCTGGTGTTGGTAAAGAATGTTGAAAATATCATGGACTACCAGATGAAAGAATAAATCCGTCTTAGAAGAAGTACAGCCAGAATGCTCCTTAGAAATGAGAATGGACAGACTTCATCTCGCATACTTTGGGTATGTTTTCGGGAAGAGACCAGTCGAGAAGGGTATCATGCTTGGTAAAGCAGAGGGTCAGTGAAAAAGGGAAAGACCCTCAATAAGATGAACTGACACAGTTGCTGCAATGATGGGCTCAAACATAGCAAAGACTGTAAGGATGGTACAAGACCGGGCAGTGTTTCATTCTACTGTACACAGTGTTACTATGAGTTGGAATCAATTCAACGACACCTAACAACAACACAACTGAACAGCAGATACCACAACTTGGTCAGCTTCAGTCCTAATGCAGGAGAAATTCATATGGTTTTCAGTGACCAATTTTTTCAGAAGTAGATGGCCCCGTCTCTCCCAGTCTTAGTGTAAAAGAGGAAAAATGGTCTTCTGGATACTGAGAGTTACTGTTTTTTTCTGGAAAAGACAAACATTGGCCTGACTAGGACAGGGAGCAAGGCCAGGCTCTGCAGATGCCCACCTCTCCAAAGGGCATTTTCTTACCCGGGCACTTTGGCCAGCTATCAGCTGATCATCTTCTGTCTGGACGCTTGTTCTACTTCTGACATCAAAATCTTCTGTCTCAAAGTCAGAGTCATCCAACTCCTCGGGGGTCTGCCAAAACAGAGATCATGACTCAAACACAACCTGAACCTCCATGTTCCTGCCTCTGAGCCTCAGACCACCATACTCTTTTACCTGCTACTAACACCCATTAACAGAGACCACCCCCCACCCCTCATGACCACTGCTGCTGGCCCTAAACCAGAGGCCTAGAGAAAGGCCCAGTGAGTCCATGGGGGAAGAATATGAAACCTGGCTCTAGACACCACACCTGATCAAATTCTGGATCTTAATATGTACTTTTCCAATACTCTGGGTCTGAGGTCTGCTTCACGGATGCACAGGCCAGCGGCCTGTCAGATGGCAGGTGTGGCACCTCACCAGCACTTCCCAAACAGCCTGCACTCTTTTACAGGATGAGGGCTTCACTTTCAACCACTGAGTCAAGAGTCTCTTACTTTATATGATACAAAATTTTCACTACTTAATGTACTTCTCCAACACCTGGGGAATTAAGGAGATTCTTACATTTTTCTCACTTTATGACAAGGAGAAAATTAAATGAATTAAATACTGAGTCTTATATTAGGGAACCAAAGTATGCTTTGAAGAATAAAAATAGGCATTGCTTTTTCTTAAATAACTTTTCTCGAAGAAAAAGATAACATGGCAGGGAAAGGCTGAGTAAATACTAAAGGGACTGATTACTGGTTCTAGCTCTTTGCTCTAATTATGAACTAAGATTCTTATTTTGCACAAATGACTGGCCTCTCATGATTAGCTGCTGACTTGAAATATAAAATCATCGTTTCTGGAAGTTAATCTGTACAGGGTGCAACTGTTGCAGGTGCAACAGTTGGAGTTGGTTGTAGGCCCTGCCAGCAGGCCTGTTACACTGCATCAGTACCTAATCCAGGCCCTGCTCAAGGGCCTGAAAGGATATGTGAGAACACACTCAGAAATCACCAAAGGTACCTTAGAGGTTTGTACAAGAACGGAGGCTAGACATCTATTCTTGGATCCACACGGGTACTGATGGGCCACAGAGTACATGTCTGTGCAAAGTCCTGGAGTCCTGCTGACTTGGTAACTCATTTTAATACTGGGCTCACAGATACCTTTCAAGTTTTGGTATGTACTACATCTGTTAAGAAGCTTCTTCAAGGATTATATAACATCATCTCTACTTCCTGACCTCCCTCAATAGCCCATCATGGATATGTGGTGTGAGACAAAAACAGGAACTTTCAGTGGTGAATCCAAGTTTATGGCCTGCGCATGTGGAAGGACAGAGCTGCCATTATCTGACATGTCAAGACTGTGAATGAAGCAGGTTAAAGATAGAGAAATTAGGAGCTGAAGCATAAGCCTGAAATGTCTATCAGACAATGAAGTAGAGAGAGAATAGACAAGTTGGCCAGACAGCACAGAACTCAGAGTCAACATCTAGAAGGCAGTCTCAAGGCTTTACACACTATGGTAATGAGCACAGCAAGAAAAGGGGTCAAGGATTTTGCCATGTGAACAAATATGTTAACAGGCTTAAAAGATGAAGAGAAAGTAGCAAAGGATACTAAGAAGGAGGTAAGCCAAGAGAGAGAACTTTTTTCCTTATGCTTAGAGAAAAAAAGAGCATATTTGTATGCTTGGTCAAGGGCTGGATGTATGCGGGTAAACGGCCAGAGCAGAGAGTGTGATCTCATGCCCCAGCAGAGAGGAGGCCCTTAGCCCACAGCACCAAGAGGCCCACCCATGGAAAGAGGAGGCAGCAGAATATACAGGGACAGTAGGGACAGATGTTACAGCTGCTTCAGTGAAAGAAGGAACAAGAGGATGGGGACATAGGTGTGTAGGCTCAAGTGCAGGAAGGTATTAAATGGTCACAAGCCTAGGATGTGTGTGAATCACAATCCTAGTGAAAAGCAACTCTCCTCTGCAGAGCATGTTACAGAAAGCAAAGCCAACTCGACTGGAGGCACTACATCCATGATCTTAGGTCCTTCCGCACAGTCACACTATGGTCGGTCTTCGATTCTTAAATCCCAAAGCCTTTCACTTAAGATACTCAACAACTCTTCCTTACCACTAGGGTTTCCTTTGTTCTATTTCTAGGTATCTGTCCACATGGAAAGAATTTGGGAAAATAGGGCTATGTACATTAGCACTGGTAAATGGGACCCAGGGATCCTGTCACACCACCAAAGGTTATGTCTTGGGCTCAGTTAGGTCTTTGCTTAAACACTGGTTCTTCATTAGTGCGGCAGCAGGAACAAAGAGACCCAAGTCTACCAACAGTGGAATAGTATCCCTGCCTACTTTGGGAGGTCTGACTAGCTATCTATGAAGGCTGAAATGAAACTACTGTGGCCTGACTAGGTCAGTAGCATAGCAAAGTAGCACCAATGCAGCAGGCAACACCTGTTCCCACTGTCACTCTGAAGGTACACCAGGGCCTGCCCCAAGACCTGGGAGGTAGCCAGGTGGACCTGGGGAACATTTTCACAGGTCCTACTCTCAGCTTCAAAAACAATGTGCTTATAGTAAGAGCTGCATGCAAAGGGTCAACTACTCAGGGAAAATCACCCTGGAACTCCATCACAGAGGGCTTGATAGTTTCAGAAACTCCTTTGTTCACACTAACCTAGAGGGGACCCTAGACTTCCCCTTAAGCATTGAGAACAATTGCCCAGCACTAGGCCTCATGCTAGAAATGTACCGTCAGGGGCTGACACAGCCCTTTATCCTCAACCTGAACACACTGAAGTTCTACCAAGAAATGCCTGCAGCCACTTTGAGAAGGATGATCCGTGTGAAGAATAGCTTCTACTTATAATAGGAAAATATTCCCTTCTCTGAAATTAAGTTGAATCTTTATTTTCTGTGGTTTCCTTCTAACTCAAACTGAAGCCTCATATTGTGATATTTGCTCTAAATTAAATCCTCAAGGCCAACTCATGCGAGTTCCTCTTCTCAGCCCAAGTTTGGGCTCTAACTTGCAACCAACAGTCACTTTAGACAACATAATTAAATATATCTCATTCTAAAAGCTTTAGATTCATGGTTTTAATATACTGCCACCACATCTGCTGAGTTCCAGAATGATGCATTGCTCAAGTTTAGCAAATGATAAGAAAGAAGCTGTTAAAACATCTGAAATGCAGTTACTCACCCTTATCATCAACACTGCTTTCCTGATGTCCCTGATGCCATCGTACACCAGGCGGGAGGCATCAATAAACTCGTTCTCATCCATGGGCTGGGCAGGGTCTGAGCTGAGGGCTTCCACAGCTGCTTCAACTTGCTCAGTGAAACGCGGCATGACTGCAGAAAGAGGAGCGTGGAAGACCCTGCTGGCTGAGCAAACGCCACCATCCCACCAACCCTCCCTAAATCCCTCAGGCCGACAGAAAAAGGCAAGGTTTATGATGAAGAGCCTCTGTTTCTACCATGTGAAGGGTATTTATGGTTGAAATAGATGAAGTACAGTATTTTATAAACACTTGAGTCATTTTGTCTCTGACTAGATTCTGCAATACAGGGTTTAGATGGTTGAGAACTTGAAGTACAATTAACCAGAGGCCATGTTTAAGAATAGGGCCCTCTTAATTTAGTATTTATTCAGTAACAGATTTAATATTCAGAAGTTCATCTTAAATAATGTGTAAACAATTAGCCCCATGATTACTCATAATTGTGCAAAAAAAAAGTGTGCTTGTAAGATCTTTATCAGACTTCTCACAACTCTGATGTTTCACCCAGAACCCTTGTCTTATGACCAAGTCCTGGTTTCTAACTTCCTACAGGATGACCTCACCCTACTTACGCTGCCTGTGACAGTACTGGACAGGGAGGAGCCCCCACACCTGTATTGGAAAGCAGCTTGGTGGCCTCTAGCACCTTCTCCGTGTAGACCCCTGGCTCATAGTTGTCCATCTCTGATGTGACCACGTGAATGACCCGGGCTGCTCGGCCTCGAATTGCACCAGCTGTGCGATCCAGCCCATCCACATCTTTTTCTTGCAGAGCAATGACACATTTGTTCACATCTTCCAAAATGTGATTCTCTGGGCAAAAAGAAAACTTAAGTGAGGGAGAAGGTTTTCCACTTGGAAGATAACAGCTTGAGCTGGCACCTGTCATTTCTTGAGTGCTTACTCTGTGCCAGCCACAGTGCCAAAAGCTTTACATGTATCATTCATTTCACTGAAGAGACTAGGTACACTGTTGGATAAACTTTCCCACAGACACTCAACCTTAATCACCCCTAAGAACAATCTTCAATCCAGGGTGTTTTTTTTTTTTTTTTTTTTAAAGTCCATTTCTGAGGCACATTTCCATAGGCCAGCTCAAAATTCAGATCACAGAAACCTTAGTAACTTCTCTTTCCTCTTAAATAATTTTGACTGACCTTATATTCTATAACTTAAATTGGAAAAACAAAAGTTCACTACAAGGCTTTTTTATCCTCACCATCCCTGCTGCCACTGATGCCAAGAATGTTCAAACAATCTACCAATAAGCCAGAACAGCCCTGGGATAGGAGAAGGTGTTAGAAAGACTCCTCTGGAGGGCCTGGAGCCCATATGAGGCAAAACATTTAGTAACCTTCTCACTGAGAACTCATGGTAAGCCACTGGGCCAATTACAACACTTACAGAGTCCCTAGTGGCACCTACCAGTCTTAAAACTCGATTTTGGAGAACTCACCAAAACTATTTTCCCTCAAAGTAACAAACCTGACACTGGATTCTGGCAACCCGAGGGCAAAGAATTCACTTCAAACTCATCTGTAATCACAAGGTGGAAGCAACCAAAATATCTAAGACTGGGCCAATGAATTCTGACCCTCCATTACTTAGTAGGGTACTGTGTGGCCATTAAGATAGATGAGCTAGAGCTGTACAGGCAGACAGAAAATGGGAGAGGAGAGAGGGAATGTTCTTATCACCCAGGACTGCAGAGGCCACTAGCAAACAGGCAAACAACAAGGCTCTGACTCATGCAGGAGGTGTGGGACACAAAGAAAGCACCCTGGGGATTCACCGGGTCATGTCCTTCCCATTCGGAAATGAACTTCTTCAAGATATGTCAGAACACTTAGAAGTAGTGTCTATTAAAAACATCCTCACTCTGACCCTACAGATTAGGAAAAAATATTTGGCAATGACACAACTAACAAGAGACTTATGTCTAGAATTTATAAAAACTCCAACACCTCAACAACAAAAAGACAAATAATCCAATTAACAAATGGGCAGTAGCCATGAATAGACACTTGACCAAAAAGGATATTCAGGTGGCCAACAAATATAGGAGAAACAGAGTCATTACACATTAGCGAGATGCAAGTCAAAACAACAAGATACCATCTTGCCCCAGCACTAGTAGCAAAGTTCAGTAAGAGAGAAAATAACAAATGCTGGTGAGGATGTGGAGAGAGTGGGACTCTCATACACTGCCGGTGGGACTGTAAAATGGTGCATCCACTGTGGAAAGCAGTACGGCGATTCCTTAAAAAGCTGGAATTAGAACTACCATTTGACCTAGCCATTTCACTACTAGGTATATATCCTAAAGAAGTGAGAGCCAGGACAAGAACAGATATATGCACACCCATGTTCATCACAGCGCTATTTACAACAGCCAAAAGATGGAAACAACCTAGGTGTCCATCAACTGAAGAATGGATAACCAAACTATGGTACATACACACAATGGAATACTATGCAACCCTAAAGAACAATGTAGAATCTGCAAAAACCTGCATAATGTTGATGAACTTGGAGGGCATTATGCCGAGTAAAAGAAGTCAATCACAGAAGGACAAATATTGTATTAGTCCATTATTGTAAAAAGTCAAAGAAAGGTTTATAAATGGAAGGAAACTTTCTTTGTTGGTTACCAGGGGTAGGAGGGGAGGGAACACTGTTAGATAGAGAGACAAGTGTTGATTTGGGTGATGAGAAGGGCAATGTACCAAATGTGAGTGATCAACATGTTGGCACTGAAGAAGAGGAAACCATAGAGAGGAACATGGGAGGTACAACAACAAAGATGAACCCTTTTGCGCATACAGTACTGTGTTGGATATATGGGTGGATAAATGGGTGGACAGGCTGAACTATTAGGTATGGCTATGCAGGGGGGAGTGTACCTAAGACCATGTATAGCGTTGGCAGAAAATGTTTCTACAAGTGTATTGCTATGTTCTGACAAAGAACAAGGTTATAGTCACTTCTGAGCCACAGCCAGCTACCCAGAGAGAGCGGACCTGTGAGCTCGGGACCATAGTCGCAAGGGACATCAAGCTCAACTGGCATAACAAACTACACAAAACACTGTTCCACATCCTACTTTGGCGAGTAGTGACTGGGATCTTAAAAGCTTGCAAGCAGCCATCTAGATGCAATGGATGGGTCTCTCCACATCCAGAGCAAAGAAGAATGAAAAAAACCAAAGATTCATGGAAACAACAGTCCAAGGAACTGGTACTCTATGCGATCCTCAGCCTATAGGACTATGAGACCAGAAAAACTAGATAGTGCCTGACTACCACTGTCAACCACTCGGAGGGGGACTCACGTAGGAGATCCTGGACAGGCTGGGAGAACAATATGAAACAAAACTCAAAATCACTGGAAACAAAAAGGGACCAGGTTTGCTGGTCTGATAGAGCCTGATGGAACCACTGAGACTATGGACCCTAGCTGCCCTTCAAGTCTAGAATGGAACCTAGTCCTGTGGCTTCCAGCCAAACAAAAGGCGTATGAGGTGAACATTTACACTAGCTAGATACACTCCTGGGGAGCTTTGGTGGCATAGTGCCTAAGGCACTTAACTGCTAACCAGAAGGCTAGAGGTTCAAACCCACCAGCCACTCCTCAGAAGGAAGGCTGGGCAATCTACTTCTGTAGTGATACAGCCTCCGAAACCCCAGGCAGGGTCGCTATGAGTCAGATCTGACTTGACAACAGTGTGTTTGGTTCTTTTTAGATATCCTCCTTGGTGAGAACAATCATGGGAGAATAGAAGGGCAGTGTATGTACAGGGACATAGCTTAGGGGGCAGGAGTGCATGGAAGGAAGAACACAGGGAAGAGGTAATAACTATGAGGACAAAGTGGGAGGGGAGCTGTTGCACTGTGGTAAATTGTAATCAGTGTCATGAGACAAAGTGTATGTGAACTGCTGTACGGAAAGTGAATTTGCTCTGTAAACTTTCACCCAAATGACCCCCCCAAAAAAAAGGTCCTCACTCTCTTAAACCAAGTTGCTGTTGTTGTTGTTAGGTGCCGTCGAGTCATTTCCGACTCATAGCGACCCCATGCACAGCAGAATGAAACACTGCCCAATCCCACACCAGCTCCACGATCCCTGCTATACTCGAGCCCATCATCGCAGCCATCATGTCAATCCATCTCGTTGAAGGCCTCCCCCTCTTTCATCGACCCTCCACCCTACC